GCGGAACAGCTGGTAGTTTTGAACTGCTGACCCTGAGGTTAGCAGCCCGATTCGTAACCACTGCGCTACCAGAGCTCCTTTGTTGATATAGCAGGACTCAAAATAAGAAGGAACGGCTGAAGATGTTCATTAATAATTGGAATGTGAAATGTACAAAAGATGAATCAAGGAAAATTGGAAGTTGCTAAAAATTAAACGGGATGATTAGAGGTACATATCCTAGGCATTAATGAATTGAAAGGGGCTAGTATTGGTCATTTTGAATCTGAAAATCTTATGGTTTGCTATGCCATAAACACATGACAAATTGAAGATGGAACAATATTGCATTCATTCTCAAAAGAAACAGTTCATGATCTGTCCTGAAATACAGCGCTGGCAGTGTTCGAATAATATCCTACGAGGAAGCATTAGTGACAATTGTTTAAATTTAAGTACCAGCTAAAGTGCCAAAGATAAAGAAACTGAAAATTTTTACTAACTGCTGCAGTTTGACATTGATCAAACATGGAGTCAAGATGCATTAATCATTGCTGGTGATTGGAATGTGAAAGGTTGGAAACCAAGAAGAAGAATAAATAGTTGCAAAGTAGAGCCATTCTTCTTTGAAATGGGCTCAAATATGGATCTCTTCCTATCAGTTGGCCAGGGAGCTATATTTCAAATCTCTTGGCACAGATGAATGAGTGCCTCCAGTACTGCCTCAGTTTGTTGAAAGATTTCAATTTGTATTTGGTCAATTCATGGGGCCTTGTTTATCACCAGTGCCTTGAGTGTAGCTTAGACTTCTTCCTTTAGTATCACCAGTTCTTGATTATAAGCTACCTCTTGAAATGGTTGAATATCAACCATTTCTTTCTGGTACAGTGACTCTGTGTATTCCTTCCATCTTTTCTTTTTTTAAAAGTTTTTATTGCGAATTGATTGTTAGTTTACATGGGACAACATTGGTTTTACCCTCATCATTTCATTGCAATAATTACAGTCTCCTCTGTGTATCATCATTTAACAGTATTTGCTTCTATTCTGTTTGTTTGTTTTTTTTTTGGCGGGGGGGCAGGGAGGATATACACAAAAACACTCAGGAATATATAATAATTTAAACAACCAAAGGGCACATTCTGCACATACTGCCACCAGCACCTAGCCGTCAGCACACAGCCTTTCTCTTTTCATGAGTCTAAGAGTCCTCAGCTGCTCTATCTCTCCATGTGCTCATCTGTCTCCATCTCTGGTGTTGCT